ATTCAGTGACCAACGACCAATGAGCTATCTATTGACGCTTCTCAGCCCCAGCTAACTAGAGGAAGAAGTTCAGGCTTGAAATGAGAAGTATATTTTGCAACAACCAGAAAATGAGCGATTCACCAAAAAACAATTTAAAACGTATATATATACAAATATATATAATCGATATTGTCATTTAAATTTTTAAACATTCATCAATAAGTTCATCAATTGATTGCTATTCAAATATTCAAACATTTAATCGATAAGTTAATCGATAATTTTACAATGTGAGTTTTGGGGAATTTATCGTCCCCAACAGTTTAAATTGTATATTTATCCATGATCAACTTTTCAACTAATAATCATTAATGAGGTAGTTGATTATGTGAATCAATTTATTAGAAGCATTAGATGATCGTTTCGTTCTATTATGAGACTTTTTAGCAGTGCATATTCACGATCTTATCCTCTTGTGAGATTCGAACCCAGGACTCAGGATTTTAAGCATTGAAATTACTATAATATGCATAAAACCCATATGGATAATAATTGATTAAAGTTTGAAATTATATTTACCTTGATGAATTTGTGGATAGCTTAATGAAATTATAGTATAAATTAAGAATGTTCAATTGATGTTTGTCGACTGATGTCATATATTGTCTGAATGAGATGTTTGTCGATCAACGAATGGATGAGTGTATTATGCACTAGTTTTATTCTGTTCTGTATTTAAAGATAAAGGATATTCATAGGTTATCAATATTTGATCACAGATCATTGATCATAACGTACTAGATAACGATGGAAAATCAACTGATGAGTTAGTGTACATTCATCAGTTAAGATGGTTGAGATATTTGTTACGTGTATACCTAACCAATGCCTACATTGATGGAGAGACATTTAATGTACGAGTAAGATGAAAGAAAGCTAGGATCAGCTAAATTGAGATATGACACCAGTTCATGAAATCAGTAACAAATGAAATAAGTCATATAAATAAGTTGAACTCTATATGGTTACTATAATCAATAATTGGAGACTTTGAGGGATATAGCTCAGCTTCATTTATTCCTTATCGTCTATTAGAACTTGAATCCCGGATTTTACTTACACATTTGCTCATTCTTTCCCTTTTTTTTAGCGCTCAATTCGATAAATTTTGGATATGCATATTATAAAAGGAGAACTACTCATCATCTAGAAAGTATACTATTCACATATGATTATGGATTCGAACCTCGTGAGGCGGGATCGTGCATGCTCACTTTTAAGAAGTCTCACAATAGGAAGAAACGGTCATCCAGTGCTTCAAGGTTTTCCATAATAGTCAAGTTTCAATTGATCCATGATCTCAACTATTGAAATAAATATCTGTTAAAATTAGCTTTATAAAATCATATTGTTCAAAACCATAAAGATTTCGCTAATCTCTATTGAGGTTATGTGTTTGCATGCGAGACCGATGGTGTTGAGTTGAAGTCACATATGCGAGATTATGAATGCTCACTGCTAAGGAGCCCTATGATAGGACGATTTGGCTATCCTGTACTTCCAGGTTTTCAACGGTGGTTTAACATTGATTAATTCATGATCTTAACCAAAAACTCAACCATCTCCACAACCCCATATCGGTAATTTTAACTTGGCAATATTGTATATCTGTAATAAGAGGTAGTGTTATGAGGAGCAATTATTTAATCTATTGGAGAAACTATGATATATGAAGTTGAATTTTCTCAATCGTTTGTGACATACAAATTACTGTTTAAGGAGTAATCATATCTCTTAGTCAGTTATGTTTGTTAGTTATAGATACCTAACAATGTGATGCGATAAACGTGTGTTTACACAGTGAATTATCGATTAACTGATGTCATATACTACTCAATTCAGACAAATAAAAAGTAGTATGTTCATACATCATTTCGATTTATTTACAGGATCGAATCTACATCATTAGTCCTTATACTTTCACTATTAGGGTTTTCACTACCGATCAGAAGCCAGTTAAACATTCGTCTAACATAACAGTGATAAACATAACGTATAGACTTTTATGCACTAGCTTAATGGTCGCCTACCTTATTGACTGGAAAGTTTTTGCGTAGATCGGTGCAATGTATATTTTGTATTCGTCATAGATTAAGCTTAGTTAGGGTATTGTCTAAAACTAAGAAGCATTAGATAATAGTTTCGTTCTAGTCTAGGAACATTCAGTAGTGAACACTCACTGCCCTACAAAAGATTGAACTCAAAATCTTTAGGTTTCAGGACGAAAGCTAGACCATTAGAATCACTGCATCGATCTTCATTAGTTCAATCCTAACTTCAATCAGTTTAAGATGTAGGATGATAATCATCTAGCATACACAAAATTCACCAGTTACGAACGTTCATTAGAAGTTCAAGACCATTTTGAGGAAGATTACTAATAAGCTGACTATTACAATTTGAATGAAAGAGCTTTTTACGAGCTGATAAACTAGCATACTGTATATGTCAATGATTTCTCATAGTTTAAGGTTAAAAAAACATACAGATGCTTGGTTCTAGTATAGCACTCAACAATGTTAGTCCATGACACCATCAGAGACCTAACAGAAGACCTTCAAATCTATTGGTAAGTGCTTAACATTTAAAGCACTGACTGAGATCCAATGGTATGAATTTCTAACTTTAATCAATTCACGATATTGGGTGACTATCATCCAATAACCATATCATATTGAACTCATGTATGACATTGTTTAAACTTCACTGGTCATGATTCCTCACTAGAATCATGAGAATTATCTCACCATGTTAATCACTAGTGAGCACATGTATTTTGTTAGTAACATGAAACAAAATGGTTGTTTTGTGCTACTTGATTTTTAACGACTATTTAGCTAAAATCAGTTAGTAATACGAGATGATAAAAACCAACACTCTCCATAGACCACCTATATTACAAACAATACGATAACATTGTTCATACCTAAACTGAGATCAAAAACCTGGATTCAATTCACGGCTATGGGGTCATGTATATTCACTATTGAGGAGTTACATACTTCAACGAAATAGCCATCCAATGCTTCAGGTTTTCAATCGTTATAATCAGAGAAGGGTTTTTGTGAATATTATAGTAATTTAATAGTTGAATTCATGAGTCAATTAAAGTCAGTCTACCATGGAAAGCAATGGAAGCACTGGATGACCGTTTCGTCTTAGTATAGGACCCTTCGTTAGTGCGCATCCACCATCCTGCACACTGGAGTCGAACCCAAGACCTTCGATTTCGTGCACGAACACTTAACATCTACACCTCTGAGCCGGCCGGCATCCAATAGTGTTAATGTCTAACTTCAACCAATTTATGATATTGAGCTACCATTCATCACTGTCTTCAATGAATTACTATCTCACAACAAACCTAGTTGAATTCTCGACTTCTCGCTAGAACTACAAGAAATACCTCTTAGAGATCGTCACTAATGAGTATATGATGATTATAATCAGAGAAGGGTTTTTGAAGCATATTATAGTAATTCTAATAGTTGAAATCATGAGTCATTTGAAGCTAGACCAATAGTTGTTTAACTAAAATGAATTGATTACAATTAAAAATGAAACCCATTTATATTCACTTGAAGTTGTCTAATTGTATATTCCCATTGTTATTTAGGACTGTGATTGATCAGTCTATTGCTGGCATATGTGCATCCTGTACATTGTACTTTGATATTGCCTGAAGTCACAAGCTTCATAAACAAAGTAAGATAATGGCTAGCAGTAGAATCCAGGACGCGTATTTCGTCATATTTGGGACTCGTCAACTAGATGTACCTACATCTCATAGTTGATGTCCACTCTAGGGCTAAATGAGTAACCCGATCACATTTGTAGCGAACGGTACTGGGTTTGAGCCTCAGAGTGAACATCAACTCTAAGCTGCAGATACACCTAGCTGATGAGTCTCATATATGACGAAACTCGCGTCCTAGATTGTACTTCTAGCCACTATCCATCATTGCTTACTACAAACAGCTTGTGAATTAAAGCAATATCGAGGTATACGCACAGTATGCACATATGCCAAAAACAAACTTATCAATTGCAGTCTTAAACCTCAATGGGAAGATACAAACCAAACAATACCAAATGAATTTAAATTCACCCCATTGCATAAGCAAGTAGCTGAGTGGATAACGCGATGGTGTTTGAAGCGAATATTACTGGGTTCTAGTCATAGAGTGAACATCAACTCTGAGATACAGTTGCATCCGGCTGACGAGTCCTAAATAGGACGAAACGCGCGTCCTAGATTCCACTACTAGCCACTATCCATGTTTACTTATGAAACCTATTTATCTTTTGCATAATATTACATAATTAACATTATGGAAAGAAGAAAAGAAAAACATAACCTATGACATAATGATTGTAAGTGAAATGAATCAAAATTGTATACATACATACATAAATACATACATTACACACACACACCCACACAGAGAGACACGCATACATGCATAGACAACTAAATAGACAAAATCATTTAATCCATATCAAGTTAAACACAAAAATTGTTTCCATCTCAAAATGTATATTACCCACCCTGTTTATCTATCTATCCATATATATGAGAATATTATAGAAAATAACAAAGCTATTCATCCAATCAAATATTCACAATTTTGTACTCATGACAATTTACTTCTCTTTCCTCAATCATTTTTGTTATTGCTGTTTTTGTTTGTTTGTTCGTTTGTTTGTTTGGTTGGTTGTTTGTTTGTCTTAGATATCCTATCCTGTCCTACCCTATCCTATCAATACAACAAATGGTATTCTCGAAATAATAATCATAATCATAGAATAGAAAATTTTTCTGCCTAACCTATTAAAAAAAAATAACAAATAGGAAATTTATCCACCCTAGTTACTACTACTACTACTACTCAAAATTCAGATAAATTTTTTTTCTAAAAAACCCTTTCATGATAATTTTCATTTTAAACCAATACACGGTTTATTTCATTAGTGACAATGTATCTATATACATAATTGTTGGTAATCATGATAGAAAAGAGAAAGAAAGAGAGAAAGAGAATGGGAGAGAGAATGAGCGAGAGAGAGAGAGAGAGTAAAAGACACTTTATGGATTATCACAGTTTGTTGTGAAGACTATATCATCAACTGGGGGGGTGTTGAGAGGGCAGTGGAACTCAATGAAACTTGTGGATAACATATGTGTCTAATCATAGATTGCATTTTTTTTTTTATTAAAAGGATATAAGAATAATATAACTGTACAGTTTTTTGTCTTTAACACTTCTGAGATATGTCGGTAAAAAACAACATAGGTAATGTTATGTAATAGCTATATATATATATACATATACCTATGTAATACAGTTTATTGCCCATAAATTGATATTATGTAATCATTGTTAAGTATGTTTCCTAATCTTAATCAATCACAAATAGATGAGCTTGATCATAATAATTCTGATTATATTAATTTATTGAATTCATCATCTTCTGTGACATTATCATCTTCTACAATGTCATTAACTTCACCAAAATCAACACCATCATCACCGTCGTCGACGTCATCGCCATCATTATCATCATCATCACCATCATCATCTCCGTCGTCTGTAACTTCACCGATATGTTTAACTGGATCATCAATTCATGAAATCTATCAATGTCGATCATTTATGATACATGATATTTTAGATAAATCTAAACAGACTACTTATAATACTACTACTATTAATAATAATAATAAAGATAAACTATACAAATCATATAATGAACAGATTAACACTTTCTCAATTAGTAAACCAAATCTAAACAATTATGAAGATGTACAAATAAATCAATTAATTCAATTACATAATTATGAACGAAATGATAAATATAATATGAAACGAAAATATATTAATCCTATCAATGATAATGATTATTATAAACGTGTAGTTACATTGGATAATGGAAAAAGTGCAACAACAACAACAGCAACAACAACCTCCACCACCACCATAGCAACAACCAGCAGCACAACCACCACCACCACAACAACAACATCCATGGTAACAATAAGGGAAGATTATAATTCATATATAAATGTAGATAATAAAAATTTATCATTAAATCTTATAAAATATCAATCACATGAACCATATAAACAATCTATCAATGATACAACACAATTGGTAGAAGGGAATTTAAAACAACTTTATACTGTAACAGGTAAATATAATGTTTCTTTTTTATATTTATTAATTGTATCTCAGTAATAATAATAATCAACACCGTTGAATGCCAACCGGCTCACTGATGTAGATGGTTAAGCGTTCGCTTGTGAAATCCATAGAACCTGGGTTCGAATCTCACAAGGTGGGATGATGGATGCCCACTACTGAAGAGTCCCACAATAGGACGAAACAGTTATCCAGTGCGTTTAGGTTTTTCATGGTTGTCTAGCTTCAGTTAATAAGTATTTGTAAGGGTGTGTTGGTGATAAGGACTGGAGTTGATCTAGTGCATATATGTGTATACTAAAGAGATCAATTCAACGTATTGGCATTTTGTCGCATGTTTCTTTTATAATAAAGTTGGATAGAGGCTATCAATAAAATTTAACACATATGTTTCATCCTATTTTGGACTCATCATTTAAATGTAGCTGATTTTAATAGTTGAGATCATGAGTCAATTAAAGCTAGATCACTATAGATAACTTGAAAGCATTAGACGGCCAGGTTTTGCATGATAGTCTAGCTTCAATTAACTCATGATCTCAACTATTAAAATGACTATAATATTCACAAATGGCCCCTTCTGATATGAAAAATACTTTCACAAGAATGATCATTCGTTGTTTACTTTAACTATTTTGATATGCTTCAATCATACATTCCATAACTATATTTAACAGTGTAATAGGATTACTATTCTATATTGAGTAGGAAATAGAAATCAATAACTTAGTAAAATCTCAGAACTATACAGTAGATACTTCATTTACAAAATGTCAATCAATTGTCTCAAACTTCATTGTTCTTTCATTTCCACGCTAATCATTCTTTGTTCTCATTCTCTTCTCTTTGATTTTTATCAACTTTCTGTTGCTAGGCCTTCCAATTTCGATTAATGATAACATACTACTTATATCAGTCGACATTAGTAACACACACCATATATAGGTATCTATTCACAACATAGAGAAATGAAGTAGAAATATGTAATAGCACATATCAAACTGATTGTAGAAGTTTATAGAAAGACTAATCGATACTAGATCAGTACCAATGAAGGCAGTTTATGAGCTAATGAAATCGATTACACAATTATATAAAAATAAGTAAACAGTTCTAATTGATAGTATGATACTAAACGAACTAGTTATGATCAGAATAATAAAAGGCTTGAATTAATCAAGTCAAAGATATTGAAAGTTATTAAAATGATGCAATAAGAAGAGTTTTCAGTTAAATATAAATATATTTCCTGGAATTCTAGTTAGAAGCCGTGACCAGTGGAGACCAATCCAAGTCGGAGGTGTGACAGTTATCCACTTCAAACAATGAATGAAAGATTGTACAAGATTATAGATCGATTAAAGTTAGACATTAACACTTTTGGATGCCGGTTTAGTAGTCTATAGGTGAAACGTTTGTGCGCGAGACTGATGTTCTTAGGTTCGAGTCCCTTTTTGGTTTAGATCATAGATGCGCACTGTTGAGGAGTCTCATACTAGGATGAAACAGTTATCCAGTGCTTCTAGGTTTTCCATGGTAGTCTAATTTCAATTGACTCATTGATTATTACTTTATTTTAGGGCAATTTCAGACGATAATATTCACCAAATTATGTTATTAACGGATGTTAATCAAGTTTATAAATATATTATGCAATCAAATTACTTTTTAATCCCTTCATCAGTGTTTACCTTTATTAATGTATACTACCCTAGTATTGGCTTTTGTGCCAATTTTGAGATGATGGAGAACATTTGTAGCTCAGATGGAGTTTTTTTTTCCTCTGAGCTCATTGGTTTGGTCGTGGAGCTTTCACAAACTTCAGGTAGTTTGTGCTAGTGATGTCGTTCAGAAAAACAATGAACGCTCTACGATCAAATCATTCAGCTCAGAGAACAAAACTTCATCAAAATTTTATGCTAATTTTATCCTTTTGATACTCACCCTTATTAACGATAAACTGTAGTAACGTAGTCTATTGTACTGGTACTGGATAGCCAGTCCATGAAGTTATTATTAACTGTTGATTTGAATCATGATAATGGATACAAAAAATATCTAGCTAGGATCTTCCTGCCTTGTTTTGAACTTAGTTCTCTAATGTTAACTCGTTTCCCCTTCCAGCCAAATAAGTTGTTGAAGCCTAGTAGGCCAGAATAATTACCGGGGCTAGAATAGCTGTTTTTGTAATTGGTTGTGAATTTTTATCGTTTTTCGATCCAAGAGTTATTGCGCTGTGATTCTTTGTGGGTTTTGTAACCAGTTTGTGGGTATCACTCGAGTGGGTGATTAGCTTGATCTCTGCCATTCGGGTTACCGCTCATATTAGTTCATTGAACTGAGGCACAACGAGAATGTGTGAATCTGATTTTGCTACCTAATGTTCAATCATTATTCTACATTAATAATACAACAATTACTTCAACTTCAAATTTACTGTTCATAGAGTTAATTAGATTGATTGTTTGGAATGAATTTCAATGAGTTTTACTTAATTATGTCTGTTACCTTCAATCGAGCATAGCCCACCGACCAGCATTCTGAAACCCACTTTGTCTTGAGCTTTCCTTTCTAGTTCTATCCAATTGTTGTTCAATCTTGTCATAACTGTCTCCATTTCTTGGCGTAATGTGTTCTTCGGTCTTCCTCGTTTCCTTTGGCCTTGAGAATTTCAAGTGAAGGCTTGTCCACTTGTGACGCAGTTCGGTGCTTTCCTCAACAAATGAATAGTAGTAACAATTTAATTTATAGTAGTTTGAATTACCTTGATTTTTGATTAGTTTTCGTTAGGATATGTACCTCCTATACGGGTTACTTTGATAAACACATTATATCACAAGTTTATATAGACTAGATGGAATGTGTCTAGCACAAGAATCCAAGAGACATGGTTCGTTTTCATCAACTCTAGGATGTAGGTACACTTGATTGATCAGACACAGATATGACGAAACACTTGTCTTCAGTATAAACCAGGTATGGCATTATAGAGCTTATTGCCTTTTGTTTGTAAGCATGTATTCTAATACATCTGTATCTTATTCTCCCAGAAGAGGGTGTGATGTGTATGAAGTGGTTGGCTTTTTTTCAAACACAATAATACTATGATTGTTTATACGGTATGAAATCTCCTTTTACAATCATATTTATGATAATGTCAAAAGATTCACCACTCAACTCAGAAACAATCTTCAATGTTATGCATAAGCAGTTGTCTCTTAGGTTTTTCGGTAGCGCTCTTAAGTTACTAGGACTATTACTAATGTAGTTTCCTTCCCAGGTCTCTGAAGGAGCAGTATTCTTCCATAATTTAGGTAAAGGTGAAGTGACAATCATCCTCATATCTCCGATAGCATTTGAGATCATCTTCATATTAGCAACAAGCTTTACATCTTATGAAATGAATTAGACCTAATATAAATAGAAATCATTCAATGAAAATGGTAGAAGTAGAAGTAGCTTATCGAATCCATGTTCAAACTTATCTCTACTTAATTCAGACTCACATCCTGGATTTCATTATTAGCCATCATTCATCTCTGCTAATGACTTTATACGGTGATTAAATGTCATTTGTAAATATTCACACACACACATACATACATACACGCAACAGCTTTCTTCCATCAGTGAATTCTATAGTAGCCATGCCTGGTTACCACGTAAAGGTATGGGAAGAAGATGAGGGAAAATGATGAATCACTATGATGGTATATTTTGAGGTTTATAGGGAGTAAATATTTTATCAAACCACTCAAGTACTTATGCTTCACAGACATAATATCAACAATAGGATAAAGCATAAACCCTTTACACAATTAAAAAACCATCTCAACTTAACAGTTTAATAGATAATAAGTTCAGTTTTTGAAATGAAAAGTATCAGGTTTAAATTTTGGAGTGAATATCAACTCTAGAATGTTGACTTATCAAGCTGATGAGCCCTGAATAAGAAGAAACGGAGGACCCATCTAGAGGAGTTGGAAAATCCTGATTCCAAACCAACGATATATATGGGTTCCAGAATCCTAAGAAAACAAATGGCGTATGAACCAAGTGTTGGTCACCGGTTATCATGGGACTGCATCTCCTGATGTTGCTTCACTGCCTTGTAGACTAGACCTTTAGGTCAAAGGGTCGGGGTATGTCCCCCCCCCGAAGAAAACCAGCTGTTTCGATTTGGACACCCGGACAGTATCCCAGCCCTCACATAAATCAAGTAGAACTCCAGAAATGTATGCTAATGATGTTGTTCAGAAGAACGATGAACGCTCCACAATCAAACCATCTAGCTCAGAGAAAAAAACACCGTCAAAATCATCCACCTGAGCTACAAATCTTCTCCATCATCTCAAAGTAACAATTCTTTTAATAAAATATCCAGAGGTTATAGAAATGAAAAGTTTACGACTAAAGTTCTATTGATAATATGATTTAATGATTAAAAATCTAATCAGTGGTGTAAATATGTTCCATACAAGACTATAAATCCTGAGTTCGATTTCCTATGGTGGAATCTTAGATATGTACTACTGAGGAATGTTATGCTAGGACAAAACAGCCGTCCATTTCTTCTTTGTTTTCAGTAATGTCCTGGATGACAGTCGATCATGACTTGAATCATAAAAACTTAATATTTTTCTTGAATAAACAAGTGTTCTGAATGCTATTGAATAGTTGGTCTTTAATGACCAGAATATCTATCTTTATAGTTTTAAAAAGGTCATATAAGGTCATTATCCTGTTTTGTTTTATTAAATTTAATTGATAGTAGACATGTGTTAGAGTAAAGTAACATCATTTAAATTGATTTATTGTATACATTGTCACTTTTCTCCAACAGAATTATGTCTCAGAAGGGGCTTTGTGGAAAGTCTGGAAGCACTGGATGGTTGTTTCGTCCTATTGTGAGACTTCTCATCAGTGCGTATCCACGATCCCCCATTGTGGGAGTCGAACCAAGGGCCTATCAGTCTCGCACACAAGCACTATGTATATCTAACCATTTTATATACGACAAAAGTTGTAGGAATTCAAGATCACGATCTTAATCATGGTATTTGGAAGTAGTTTATAAATACTGTTGATACCTCTTAGGATAGGAAAATTCTTAATATATATGGTTTCTTATGAATTCTTTTTGTTCTGTTTACTTTTCGTCTACTCCCTCTTCTCACTCACCTATCTATTGTTTACTGTTTATACTTTTGATTATGTAATTTTTAGTGATTATCATTTTTAGATTTATTTGGTATTGTTGTTTACTTGAATCTTCCCATTGATGTTTAGAACTGCAATTGATCAGTCTCTTATTGGCATATGTGCATACTGTGCGTATTGCCTCGATATTGCCTTAATTTACAAGCATTATAAGCAAAGATGGATAGTGATTAGAGGTGGAATTCAGGACGCGCATTTCATCCTATTTGGAACTCGTCAGCTGGATGTACCTGCATCTCAGAGTTGATGTTTACCCTGGGACTCGAACCCAGTAACATTCGCTTCAAATATGATCGCGTTATCCACTTAGTTACTGAGTCCTGATAGCCACTTGCTTGTGCAATAGGGTGAAGTTTAATTCACTTGATATTGTTTTACTTGAATCTTCCCATTAGTATTTAGGACTGCAATTGATTAGTCGCTTATTGACATATATGCGTACTGTGCATTTTGTGTCGATATTGCCTTAATTCAAAAGCATTATGCTTATAAGAGACTGATCACTTGCAGTCCTAAACATCAATAAGAAGATTCAGGTAAACAATACAGAATGGATAAAACCTTACCAATAGTACAAGCAAGTGGCTATCAGGATTCAGTAACTAAGTGGATAACGCGATCATATTTGAAGCGAATGTTACTGGGTTCGAGTCCCAGGGTGAACATCAACTCTGAGATGCAGGTACATCCAGCTGACGAGTTCCGAATAGGGTGAAATGCGCGTCTTGAATTCCACCACCAATCACTATCCATCTTTGCTTATAATGCTTGTAAATGACGAGTCCCAAATAGAACGAAACGTGCTTCCTAGATTCCACTGTTAGCCACTATCCATCTTTGCTTATAACGATTATCATTTTTGTTGAAAAATTCTTTGTGAAGAAAACTTTCATTTGTAAATAGTGTGTTTTCCATATGTTGATATTAGATGGGATATAATTGGAAACTAGAGTAGATTAGATAATTGTACTAATCTAGTATGAGATTCTTTATCAGTGAGAAACTATAAATCTATCAGAGATTAAACTCAAAGCTTTTAAATGTTGAGTCAAATATTTAACCATTATGTTACAGGGTTGTTATCTATTAGTGTAGATTTCCAGCTTCCATCAACTCAACCTATTTAGCAACAATCATTCATGTCAATGAATGATATTCATCGGTGAAAGCGACGTTTAAATGACCTTGAGAGTGTCCACTTAATAACTAAGTTCAAATGAGGGTTATAAACCAGTGTGAGGAATGGAAATAATGATTTACAGTTAATGATTAGGTTATTCATCATGAACTGATATAAGCTAAAATACCAAAACTCTATTGAGCCAAATGGATGAATGAATTTTGCGCCAAAATCCAAGATCTGTTATCAATTATAGTCTCACCTAGCCATCTTATCTCCACAACATGGTATAAACTTCATTGATCCCACCTTATCATTAGAAATTTGGCGGTTTTTTTTTCTTGAAGTTGAGGGATATTCTGAACAATGGAAACGGATCATTGACCGATTAACCTCTTATTAGATCTTTCACATATGTGTTTAAGTAGTATCTAAAAACAGAACTTTACAATGAACCATGATCTTGTTTCCATGGTTGTTTTTCGTTCATTAGTAGTGAAGTTTATTAAAAAAAACTCATATTTGTACTAACGATACTATTGAAGTAGAGACAAAGCTCTTGACTGACACGTTAATGAATAATGGTTATTCATTGCAGTTCATAAACCGCTGGAAGGGTTGAAATACGATTAGGCCTATAACGCTTCTGGTACACAAAAAGCGAGTTTACATTATGTTACCATTTAGAGGTGACTCATGAAACGGAGACTTAAATTAGCCATCAATGAAACATTTGATGCAGTGGAACTTGTCATTATTGAAGAGACAAGGTCTATGTTTCACCGAAAACCAAAAACAGCACGTACGGGATTGTATCATATCTTATTATGTCTATCTATTTACATGTATTTGCTGAAACACGTATATAGAGAGGTGCAATCATGATCTGCAAGTAAACGTAGCGGAAATTAAAAAAAAACTAAAATTTAACACATAGATATCGGTACAAGAAGGCATCAATACATATGCGCCACACATATCTCATTTGATATGTGTGAGGGCTGTGATACTGCCCGGGTGCCCAGACAGAAGCAGGTGGTTTTCTTAAGGGGCCACACCCGGAGCCTTTGACCTGAAGATCTGATCCACAAGGCAGTGGAGCATCGTAAGGAGATGCAGTCCCATGGTAGCCGGTGACCAACGATTGGTTCATACGCCATTTGTTCCCGCAGGATACTGGAGCCCATGTGCACCATTGGTTTGAGATCCGGTTAAAACGCCGGACATTCGCTTTTCGTCCTCTCATTTTCGTAAACAACACCCCCGCCACGTGAAGGCAGTGAGTAGGACTTCCCTGGCAGGGGCTGTATACGCGTGGCCATATGAGAGCATTTCGAGAGGGGGAGCGGACTCCCCCCACTCTCGGCCATACCAGGGCATTTGGGGGCGGAACACATACCCAAATGACTGTAGAAACAAATGAATTCCAATAGTCAAATAAGATCATAGGATAAACAGACATAATGCTCCATTGTGAAACATTTGATTGAAACTGGTTATAAGGTTGACATCAAATCAGCATTTCTAGTGCTGTACAAAAGCCTTCAAGGGCCTTGACAATACGGAAACTGAAACCCCCTTTATGTGTTCAAAAACAATTTGTCCTTATCTTTAACTTACCCTGATAATACTGATTTATTATCCAGAATGGTTATCATATGGTTTCTGTGTACTTTATTATTCTTTGTTACGGCTTACCTGTAAACTTGTCTAGTTGACCTTTTAGCTTTCATAAGAAAATGTCATAGCAACTGCATTATGTGTATTCTGATGGTTCGAAATGTATTACTCAAATATATCACCACATAATCCTAATAACCTTCGTCTTCTCATTACATCATCGACATGAACAAATGCTGTACTTAGAATCTATGCCTATCTATTATCTTTATCATTCCATTCATTCAACAATGTAGAATGACTTCCTACAGAAGAACTTTGACCAAGTTACCATAAACATAATATAAAATTTTAAAAAAATCTAGCTTATTATTTAGAGTGGGAGACCGAGGGTCCTGGGTTCGAATCTTACATGTGAGATAGTGGATGAGTACTGCTAGATAGTCCCATACTCAGATAAAATATCTGTCCACTACTCCTAGGTTCTGTTTGAGTGGTCATCAAGCTAAGATCAATTCATGATTTAAGACTATCATTCATTTGACAAAAAGATTGGTATTTCTTAACGAAAAGTTACTTAGTTAATTACTTACGCCTGTTACTCCCAGTGGAGAATAGGCAACCGACCAGCATTCTTCAATTCATTCTGTCCTAAGTTTTCCTTTCTAATTCTATCCAATTGTTCTTTATTATTCTCATGTATTTCTTCGTTTCTCGGTGTAATGTGTTGTTTAGACTTCCTCTTCTCTTATGACTTTGAGGATTCCATGTGAGGGATTGCCTTGTGATGTAGTTGGGTACTTTCCTCAATGTGTGTTCTATCCACTTCCAGTGCATCTTCCTGAATTCGAATGTACTAGTGTTTGGATTGTTGAGTAGTGAGATCATATAATAGTGTGAGTATAAACTTTCCTATTGAATATTCTGATAAGAGGCTGGAAACTAATTGAGTAAGAAAATTATTTTGAAAAAATCAAGATGCCTCTAAGATGGTAGATAAAATTTGTAGCTCAATTGAATGATTTCGATGGAGTATTGTTCACTGAACTTCACGATCAAACCATTCAGATTAGTGAACAAAACTAATTGTTTTAAGTATAAAATCCCAGATCACTTTAGCTATGTTCAAGTAGAAATATTGAATAAACCACATTATTGGTTAAAGTTAGACATTGATACCATTGAATACTAGCTCAGTGGTCTAGTTAGTTAAACGTTTGCGCACGAGATAGATAAATCTTGAATTTGAATGTCACTAGGCAAGATCGTGAATGTACACTACCACTGAAGAGTCCTATAATAAGACGAAACAACCCTTCAGTACTTCTAAGTTTTCCATGATGATCTTACTTGAATTGGACTCATACATTTAACTATTGCTAATTATTATTCTCTTTTTTAATCTTTTCAAATGAAATAGATTTAAATAATCTAACAACAAATTCAATAATAAATAGTCCAAATAGTTTAAATACAAATAATGAAAATCTTAAAGATGATGAATTACAAGAAGATAATAGTGATGATGAATATTCTGAAATTAATTCAAATGGTTCATTATATTCAACTCATTCATCAATAGATCCATATCAGAAATTAACATTCATAAAGAAAAAATCAATAATCTCATCAAAATTCGAACCATCAAATGAATCATATCGATCATATCACCCTCATTATCATTATAATCATCATCATGATCATGATCATCAAGATCATGATCATCATCATGATCATCATCATGATCATCATCATCATCATCATCATAGTAAAGAATATGATCTTAATCATGAAATGAATAAATCAAAGAAACCACGTAAATCTAGAACAGCATTTACTGATTTACAATTAAATGAATTAGAGAAAATGTTTGATCATCAAAAATATTTAAGTGTACAAGATCGTATTGAATTAGCTGAACGATTACATTTAACTGATACACAAGTTAAAACATGGTATCAAAATCGAAGGTGAGTTTTTGTTTTTATTTTTATAATTTTTCAAATTGATAATAGATGAAATGAAATTGAATAATTAGATCATCATTGAAAACCTGGAAGTATTGGACAGTTGTTTCGTCTTATTATGAGACTCATCAACAGTGAGCACTCATGATACCGTATATTATTGGTTGAAGTTAAATATTAACATTGTTAGATGCTGGCTTACGCGTTTGTGCGTGAGACTGATAGGTCTTGAGTTGGAATCTTGAGAGGCGGGATCATACTAGGATGAAATGGCTGTTCAATACTTCCAGGTTTTCCATAGTGGTCTAGCTTAAATTGATTCATGATCTCAAGTGGCAAAATTACTATGGTATGTACAGAAACCTCTTCTGATATCAATCAGCATATGCTCACTAGTGACTGGCTTCAAGCGGTATTTCCTGGAGTTCTAGTGGGATGCACATACCAGTGAAGTTCAACCGGGTCTGTTGTGAGATAGTAACTGACTGAAGATAATGGTGAATGGTGGTTCAATTTCGTGGATTAGTTGAAGTTAGACATTAACATTGTTGGATGCCGGCCGGCTCAGTGGTCTAGTGGTTAAGCGTTCGCACGCAAGACTAATAGGTCCTTGGTTCAAATCTTCCTGAGTAGGATCATAGATGAGCACTGCTGAGGAGTCCCATACTAGGATAAGACAGTCGTCCAGTGATTCTAGGTTTTCATGGTGGTCTAGCTTTATCTGGCTCATGAACTCAACTATAAAATTACTACAATCTCTACAAAACACCTCACTGATTATAATTAGATAGTTGTTTTGTTCTAATATAGGAATGTTTATTTTCCATAAAATTCTAGCTAAAATGTTAATGAATTATCTAAAGACGACATTAAAGTTCTAGTGAAGGTTTATGATTGGGAATATTAAGACATTTACAATTGGTTGATCACTAGGTGGCGATCAATTCCATGTGTGTCAAGTTCTTTTTAGTGCAGATTGAATCTTATCGACCAGTCGCAGCATGGATAGCACAGTGGTAACATCTTTGACTATGAAGCTGGGTGACACGGGATCGAATTCGTTAGGGAGCATCCGGTCCCTTAAGATTACAATTATACCTTGCCGACGAGTGCCAAGTAGCACGAAACCTAGTTTAAGGGTCTCCTATTGATTAACTTCAACCACCATCTTATATTAGGACATGTTGGAAATGAAATGATAGTGACAAATAGTATTAGATAATCTTAATGTTAGAACGAAAAAGTGATTGAAGTTCGAATTGTAATGTAGATTCCTAATTCACTGAGAGATATAAATATCTTGGGTTTAGTCCCTAGTACGATTATACATGCTATCTAATTTTCAATGGTACTTCAAGTAAATTGAATTCTTTGATTTTCTGGAAATGAGGGTTTTTAAAGTGTTATATCCTCTGAATTAGATAATCAGTTCAAAGAACACAACATCTTGGAAACCTTAATCATGAACTACAAATGTTCTTCATCACTTCGACTTTAGAATTATTAACGATCAATGATTGTAAACATAAGTCTTGTCATGTGAATATTGGTTTAAACAAAAGTAAATAGTAACTAGTTTCTAAACTTGTTGGAGTCCAACGATGTACTGAATCATCAATCTTGATTGATGATAATTGACAGTATCATGAACTTTATGAAGTTTGAAGTGTAACTCGTCAGCTATCAACTCATTAGTCTGAAAACAATAAGTTTGAATAGTTGACATCATGAGTCAATTGAAGCTAGACCACCATGAGAAACATGGAAGCACTGGACGGCCGTTTCGTCTTATTGTGGGACTCTTTAGCAGAGCGCATCCACGATCCCACCTCACGGGACTCTAACCCGGGACCTATCAGTCTCGCGCCAGGCGCCCAACCAACTAGACCACTGAGCGGGCATCCAATGGTGTTAATGTCTAATAATAAGGTTTAATTTATGATGGATTATGAGATCAAATTGTTGAAGAGATTGATAATGAGATGTGACACCTACTGAATGGTTCCTAGTTTTTAAGAGTTATAAATTGATCAAACAGTTTTGAGAAAATGCTATTCCAATTTAGTTCAATACTAATACTAGTTTAATACTAATCAATACTAATAACTCATATGTGGTCTGATTCTACTAATGAGGATTAGTAATCAATTTCAAAGGATTCGTTCTCTTCGGAGTGGACTGATCGGATCTTTGATAAGTCTTTTCATCATAATGTTAAGAGGATGATCAAGTATTTACTTAAGTAAACATATTACTTGTTAATTGTGATAAATTGGATGACATGAAACTAACTCTCTGATAATGTCTAATCCATCCTATTACTAAATAAGCGAGCTAGTTTTCTACGGCATGGGATCTCTAATCTTATGCCAAACCCTCCTCCTTTATCCAGGATTGGGACCGGCAGTAGACCCAGAGGGGCCTGAGGAAGAGTTAACCAAATAGTTGATCAGAAAATTGGATCCAGATAGAAGGCAATCATTTCAATATTCTGTTTATGATACTTTTCAATCTATTAATAGTATTCATAATGGAAATACTTCTGGAAAACTCATGTTCCGGTTTAACGTTGAATCCAAGCTATATGCTACATATATGATTATATCAGTTTTAATAACATAAGTATAGACTTGTTGACTGACCATTTGAGATGAGTGTTGTTATGCTGTGCTTTTAATGTTTAGTTCAACTTCCACTATGACTTCCACTATAGACAAAGAGGTAAGATTATAATGATATCTCGAATGGGCATAATCTTAGCGAGTTGTTTCATGTTTAAACTAGAAAACAGTCAACTTAGCCTATACAAAAGATATGGAGGTAATAGAACTGTAGAATCAACTGACATCTTTTCTTATATTTCATGTTAACAAATGAAATAGATCATTCTCTTTGATTTCTTGATATGCTTTTGACAAGTAAGAATGATAGATCCTTAAAAAGGTCTATTTTTTGAGAAAAACAAATATGGAACGACTAATTGACCAACTTTTGTCTTTGATGAGTTTGACTAGTATTCGAATCTCGCGAGGCGAGGTTGTGAATGTACACTGCTGAAGAGTTTCACATTAGGACGAAACAGTTGTCCAGTACATCCAGGTTTTCCATGATGGTCTAAATTCAATCGGCTTATGATTTCAATCATTGAAATTAATATTCAATTTGTTCAGAAATATGAACTCATCTTAACAGAGTTCTTTGGGAAAATGTGATAACCATACATTGAATACTTCATTCGTAAATCTTCCATCAATTGTTATTTATATCCCTGATGATTCTTCCATTTCTTAATTGTGTCATGCTTCCCCGTACTGTTTTTATTTTCTTCAGGTCAATCTTCTTTTGACAGGCATTTCATGTATGGTTGATGTTACATACTACTTATTTCTGTCGACATAAGTAGCATGAACTATATGTATATACTAATATTACATTGTATAAAAAGCCGCCAACTGTATTCGATTGAATATCTAGATAGATAAACTTTGGATGACATGGTTTTATGGACACTATCTTTTAATTGTAGAAAATGTTCATCACCGATTAGCTTCAATTACGGTACCGCTTAAAACTAGGGAACATTAGAAAACTGATTAGCCGAAGTATATGGCTCTTTCGTAGTGTGTATCCAAGACTCTATCACAAGGGGATGGATCTAAGATCGTCAGTTTCGCAACTGAACACTTAAAACATAATTTATTGATCCAATGGTGTATAAATCTAACTTCACTCGACCTATAGGTGGGTAGCTTATAGAGAAATATTACTTACTTACTTCCTTACCCCTGTTACACCTCGTGAAGGAGCATAGGCAACTCATCAGTATTCTCCATCCAACCCTGTCCTGGGCAACCCTTTCCAGCTCTTTCCAGTTCTTATTCATCGTTTTCATATCTGCTTCTATTTACCGACGTAATGTGTTCTTTGGCCTTTCTCTTTTCCGCTTCCCTTCAGGATTCCAGAGAGAGAAATATTAAATACTCAATATCATAGATTGATTGAAGTTGCACAATTGAATTATAATTCAGTAGTTTAAAGGTTCAGTGTTCATGTTTGACTCTTGGTTTCGGCATTATGAATGTACACTTCTGAGAAGTCTTGTATTAGAACAAAATTATTATCCAATGCTTTCATGTATTCACTGGCTTCTCAAACTAATATTGGTTTGTGATTAGAATAAATAATCATATATAATCGTTTGGTGTTGTTTGCTTGTATGTTCCCATTGTTATTTAGGACTGCAACTGATTAATCTCTTATTGGCATATGTGCATACTGTGCGGACTGCCTCTATATTGTCTGAAGTCACAAGCATTATAAGCAAAGATGGAGTTATAGCTTCACCCCATTGCATATGTAGGTGGCTATAAGGACTTAATAACTAAGTGGATAACGCTATGACATTTGAAGCGAACAGTATTTGGTTCGAATCCCAGAGTGAACATCAACTCTTTGGTTCAGGCACATCTAGCTGAAGAGTCCTAAATAGGACGAAACACGTATCCTGGATTTCACTACTAGTCAGTATTCATCTTAATCATATATATTATATTTCAAACTTACTCAACTTATGTATAGTTTTACAGTATATCTCCAATTTTTTCATGATTATAGAACAAAATGGAAACGTCAAACTGCTGTCGGTTTTGAATTACTTGCTGAAGCTGGTAATTTTGTAGCAGTACAACGTATTTTACAAACTAATCCATATTGGGCATATCATCCAGCAGCACAAACAATTCTAGCTAATATGGAAGCAATTATGAAGAAGAAAACTGATTTCAATATAACTGATGAATTAAAACAAACTAGTAATAATAATAATAATAATAATCATGATAGTAAAATGAATTATTTTAAGCAAATGAATCATAATGAACATATTATTAACAATACTACTAATACTACTAATACTAGTAGTAGTAGTAGTAGTAGTACTAATACTACTAGTAACACAACGAATACTACTACTAATACTACTCATAATCATCATTCAAGATTAAATGATCAAGATTCACTTTCATTTAAATCGATTGAAATCAATCATTCGATACCATCTTCAACATTTTTATCATTATCATCATCATCATCATTATCATTATTCCAATCCAATGATCTTAATCATCATTTAGACAATTATTCAAAACTAAACTCATCAATAAAATTACCAATAACTATAGGAACTTCTAATTTCCCATTAAGAGTTACTACAATAGATCATCAATTGAATACTACTACAACTACTACTACTGCTACGCCGACGACAACGACGACTACTACTACTATTGCTACGACTAGTACAAATGCAGGAGATAGTACATCATTAGCGGAACTACCAGATTGGTGGCCATTTAAATCAACTATAAAAGATTTAATGCAATATCAACATACATTATCTTCTTCAACTATTCCTCCTCCTCCTCTTCCTCTTCCTCCCACTACTACTACTACTACTACTACTACTACTACTTCTACTCCTACTACTATACCATCTTTACCATATTGTCCTATAGTGAATTCATCAATCATAGATACAACTAAATTATTACAATTTGATTTACCAATGGATTCAACTATATCCTCATTTAATATACAATCATCATATACACCAATGAATATATGGTCAACATTTAATACAAAAGATTTATTATCTATAACACAAAATATACCATTATTTAATAATTTATTACGTCATCATTGTATCATAACAAAAGATTAATAATGATAACATTACATAATGATGATCAATTGATTCTTTCCTTGATAGAATATTGATTATTGATTTATTTAATTTTTTTTTTTTGGATCAATTTTTATTCTTTGAGTATAAACATTCAGGTTAGAATCTTGATCATTATGATCATATTGATGTTGTTTAGAAGAACAATAAACATTCCATTGATGAAACCAACTAGTTCAAAGACAAAAAGAAAGAAAGAAAGAAAGAACTCAATCAAAATCATTCATTTGAATTATAAATCTTCTCAATCATCTACGGATTATTGTTTCAATGAATGAAAGATATTGAGAGGAGTGGGAACTTTCAACAAGAAAAAAACACAACAAAAATCACACACACACACACATGCACATCACAATCCAATTGTATGTGCAAATGTATCAGAAGGAAGTGTAAATTAACTTTTCCATTATTATTATTATTATTATTATTATTATTAATCAATAATATTGTTGCCATGACTTGTCTTGATCTCGGTTTAATTAACTTTGTTTACTATAGTCAATTCATTGATTATTAATTTTAATTTGTACAAAAAAAATTATTTTTTTCTTTTTGTTTTTCATTTTTTTTTAATTATTTTCTTTCTTTTTCTTTTGTTTTATTCTTTATTCAATTTATCTCATTTTTTTGTTGTTGAAAGTTGAATAAAATATAGTTTAATTTTAAGTGATGAATTATTAAGACAATTATCGATACTACTATTAATACTACTAATAACATTACCACTAATCCTACTACTACTGCTACTACCACTACTAATACTACTACTAATACAACAACAACAACAACAACAACTACTACTACTACTACTACTAATGCTAATACTTCTGCTAGTACTACTACTAATAATACTAATGCTACTGCCAATACTATTAATAATACTACTACTATTATTGCTATTACTACTACTACTACTACTACTACTACTACTACTACTACTTCTACCATTACTACTACTAATACAACAACAACAACATCAACTACTACTACTACTAATAATAATAATAATAATGCTACTGCCAATACTACTATTATTATTACTGCTACTACTACCATTACTACTACTAATAATAATAATATCAATACTACTTATACTACTAATAATATTACTACTAATCATACTACCACTACTACTACTACTACTCCCACTACTATTACGACTATTACCATTACTACTAGTCTACTACTACGGTAAGACTAGAATTTCTGGATGATTTATGAGTGGCGCTTTATTGTCCTTGAGAATATTCACCTACTTGCTACGTCTAAATAAGAGTTATAATGTCGTTTAAAAAATAAGTATCATGATTATAATGGCAAAATGGTGTTTAGCCAAATGAATGAATAAATAAATTTTGCGCCAAAATTTAAGATCTGCTCCGTTAAATGTGATTGGTTTATTCATAAATTATATAGTTTTGCCATTATTGCTTTTAAGTAATGTCATTAATTGATTTGAAGATATCTTTAATTAAATTGATACGGTATATGTTTTATTAATGGAAGGAAACAATTATAAGCATGTTTCACTGGTTGAAATCATGAGTCAATTAAAGCTAGACCACCATGGAAAACCTGGAAGCACTGGATGGCCATTTCGTCCTAGTATGGAACTCCTCAACAGTGCGCATCCTGTTATTTGCGAGATCCGAACCCAGGATCTATCAGTCTCGCGCCAGGCGCTTAACCAACTAGACCACTGAGCTGTCATCCAATGGTGTTAATGTCTAACTTCAACCAATCCACGAAGTTGCGCCACCGTACATCATTGTCTTTAAGTTGAGAGGTCCTGGGCTCGAATCTCGCGGGTAGCGGGATTGTGAATGCGCACTGCCAAGGAGTAGTCCCATACTAGGACGAAATGGCCGTCCAGTGCTTCCAGGTTTTCCAAGGTGGTCTAGCTTCAATTGACTTATGATTTCAACCGGTGAAATTTCAAAAATCAACACACAACCCCTTCTGATAATTATAAAGATGATTAAATTTGTAGTATTCCGTTCTCTTGTGGGTAATACTCACGTGATTAATATTTAGTGATCAGTTATTGTAAATATGTTAGTTATATGAAAGATCAATGAATGGTTGAATAACCCTGTATTGACATTTTACATTATGCAATTGAATGACTTGGATTTGAATTCTCTAGGTAGTAGCGATTCTTTGAATATTTTAGGTATATTTTAATGAATAGTGTCAGATAGTATGAAATCTCTGGTTACTAAGGTTTTCTAATGACTATCATCAACTATCTAACTGATGATTCATTGAAGTAGAATTTTACTTGATTAATTGCTTTAATAAAAGGCTTAACTTCAATCTACACTTGTAATATTCATCTGTGATAAACATTAAGTCTATAATCATTAAAGTAGAGCCTTGGGATTGATAAAGATTGACCAAAGCTATCATATCACTGTACCACCTTGAGATGAAAATAACACTGTGATCAATAAACGAGTTTTAAATAATGTCGTAGCAATCATACCGAGAAGGAATGGACAATAACTATATGTTGCAAAGAAAAAAACCGACGGAATAGAAAAGTATATATGGAATGTATTATGGTGAACTATGTGACCCTGGAGTTAATTTTCAAACGTTCCCGAGACAACTTATATATCAAAGATTTTGAGATAATTCATTTTATAGTTGGATTCATGAATCAAATAAAGCTAGACTATCATGGAAAACCTGGAAGCATATGTAGGTCGTTTCATCCTAGTATAGGACTCTTCAGTAGTGCTCATCCATGATTCCACCTTGTGAGATCCAAACCAACGAACTATCAGTCTTGCTCGGGAACGCTTAACCTCTAGACCACTAAGCCGGCATTCAACAATGTTAATGTTTATCTTCAACCATTCCAGTGTTTCCATGTTTTTCATGATAGTCCAGGGTCAATAGACTCAGGAATTCAACAAAACCGTCTTCTCTAATTAATTTTATTTGAAAATGTAAGATATTAGATAGTGATTTGAAATGTAAGGCAATCACTTAGAATTCTGAAACTCTTTGATTTAATCCTTGGATAGATGATGGATGTTAATTGTTGAAAATCACCATTTTGTGTTGTAGTACTCATGCAGTATTTCCTAGTTATCATATGGTACCACAGATGATATGATTTCATTAGAAAATCTAATTTTCATTTTGTTATAAGTAACTAATGGAACCTAAGATTTGTGTTTCGTCCCATTTGGGACTCATTAGTTCGATCCACTTGAATCCCATTGTAACTTATTTCTTTAAGCACCAAGGTGTCAGAATGAAATGCACACCTTGGATTCCATTGTTGATAACAATTCCACATAATAAAATCTGATAACAAGTGTAAATATTAAGGTTGATCCACTTCAGTATGTATTTACTATTAACAGAGATTGATTAGTTGAAATGTAGTTACGACATGGTAACTGTGGGGGGGGCTTAAAATTTTTTTCACGAAATTACCATACAAACTGATCAGAATGACGTGACAGTTTATTCTAATTTTCTTAGCTTAACATCAACTACTGATTAAAAGCAAAATGGATAGTGGCTATCAGTGGAATCTAGGATGCTCGTTACGTGCTATTTGGGACTCGTTAGCTGGATGTACCTGTATCTCAGAGTTGATGTTCACTCTGGGATTCGAAGATACAAGTAAACAACACCAAGTGAATACTGATTATAACGTGTAATAAATCAAAAGATAGAGTTGAAAATGCTTACAGAAATGAATATGGTTATGACGTAGTTAAAATATGTATCGTCATAGTTAGTACAGATGTAAAACACTGAAAATATGTATTCTATACAGAAGAACATTCTGGAACATTGATAGCAGTGATTGATCAAAGGACAAGAAATAAGTGGTTATTTAATTAGGTTTCAGTCAAATGACAACAACAGAGTAGAACTTTTCGGTTGGGAGATTTCATATTATCGGTGAAGAGTTGTGGAAATTATTGAACCGATTCAAATACGATAACCACTGAAGGTCTGAGTTTTGGGTTTGATTCCCGGTTCCAGGATCATAGATGAGCACTGATGAAGAACTCCATACTAGAACAGAATAGCCATTCAGTGCTTCTAGGTTGTCAATGAGCCACATTAATCATTCGATTCGTGTAAAACAGGTGGTTTTCTTAGTAGGTTAACCCGGAGCCTTCAACCTAAAGGTCTAATCCACAAGGCAGTGAAGCAACGTCAGTAGATGCAATTCCATGGTAGCCAGTGACCAATAGTTGTTTCATACACCATTTGTTTACCCACGATCCTGAATATCATGTGCACCATTGGTTTAAAATCAAGGTTTATCAACTCTCCTAGGTGGACTCTCCGTGTCCACCAACCCGGTTAAGGCACAAGCATTCGCTTTTCGTTTTTTTTAATTGCGTAAACAACACCCCAGCCACGAGAAGGCAATGATTCGGACTTCTCTTACAGTGGCTGTATACGCGTGGCCACGTGAGAGCATTTCAAGAAGGAGAGCTGACTCTACTCACTCTCGGTCATACCAGAGCACTTTCCGATTGCCTTCAGTTTAGACAAACTCGAGTTATATAAATTCAGAATAAAGGACTGATCAATTACAATCCTAAACATCCATAGAAAGATTCAACCAAACCCTATAACATTTGAAGCTTACAGTATTTAGTTCGAGTCCCTAAGTGAATATCAACTCTAGAATACATATACATTCATCTGATGAGTCCCCCACCCCCCAAAAAAAGGAATAGGACGAAAATACGCATTCTAGATTCCATTGTTAACCACCATTTCATAAAATGAATTCTTTGTACACATTCAAATTGAAAATTTTATCAAATAAAAGAAATCACCTTGTTTTTTTTTCTTTCTGTAAAAAAAGCCCCAATTTATCTAAATTTAATAATTAATATGCCTTATACAGATAGATATATACATATAGAGAGGGACAAACATACTACTGATTAATTCATTAGATAAGTAGTCACTTATTCATTTATTAATTTTGAGTAAATTTTTTAAAAAAAATTAGACAAAATTTTGCTAAAGAAATATCGCGCGCGAGAGCGAGAGAGAGAGAGAGGGAGGGTGAGAGTGAGAACGAGAGAGGGAGAGAGGGGGAGAGAGTGAAAGAAAGAGAGAGAAAAAAATGGCACAACACAGGAAATCAACTATATAACTTCCTTGTTGTTGTTTTTCTTTTTTTTCAAAAAAAGGGAAAAATTTTAATCTGCTTTCTTGTTTTATCTTAGACTATTAATACTACTACCACTACAATAACTACTACTAACAATAATCATAAGAAATAATGACATCAATTAATTTCTCTTATCGGTATCTCTATACTACTTATTCATTTTTAATATAACCGTTTAATATAATACACTAATCTTTTCTGTTTTTTGTTTTTTGGAGAAATCAAATAGAAAGGATATGAAGGTGATTGTTCTAAATTTGGGCGTCAATCATTTCATGAGGTGTATGTGTGTTTGTGTGTGTGTGTATGTGTGTGTAAGCTTGTATAGTTCATGTTAAACTCCTACATATATATTTATAGACAACTTTAAAAGTGTTACAGACTTGATGACCTTCATACACATATCCGCACACACATACACAGAGAGAGAGAGATACACAAGTACTCACATGCATATACGTAAATATGTACAAGATATATATATCTGATAAGTATATGATGTATATATATATATATAATCTCCTGGACTATGGTATATATAATCACCTAGGTCATGTAGTTAATTGAGTACTGTGAAAAACAAACCCCCACAACACACACACACATGACTACTACTACTACTACTGGTCTTAGTTTTACACTTTTTCTAGTTATAAATAAATGAAATAACATTACTATTTAAATGTACAATTATATTCCATTATGATTATTGAATAGTTTCCTGTTTATGTCTTTATTTATTTTTATGTCTTTAACC